TTGAGTTATGCGAGGTACGTGCATATGTTCGTACAGACGCCGCCACGAAAAATTCTCTTCAGATTTCAGCAGTTTTATAATTTTTTTGGAGGAAAAGAGTCTTTTATTCTGTCCTTACTTACAGATATCACGCAGAAACATCGTTAAATTGCATTCGAAAGCGGTCAAATTGGATATTTTCGTTGAAATATGTTGCCTGAAACTTTTCGCGATTACGATACTTCCTTTTTATTTCGTACAAGGAAGTAAAAATCACGTACTTCCAGTGTTGAAGTTCTACAGAATTACACCAGTTAATTACCATGACACCAAGCAGCTGTAATCATTATAATTTCGTCTTTTGTGAGCAAAGTCATATATACGAGAGATTCTACATTTTTTCATTACTGAATTTTATAAAAGCAAATTATTATTAAAAACTTACCTAAACTATTTCCTGTAATAGAGAAGTTTGTTTTGTCTGTGCCACTATGCACTTTAAATGATATGTGCCGTCGTAGATTGGACCGTTATGTAACTGAAGTTAAAATTATGTTTCCTTATGAATAATGTTACTTACTGTTTGAAAACTATTTTAGTCTTCTGCTGTGTGTCATTAATAATTACAGTAAAATTACTTAACATTTGAGTTATGACTAAGCATGAAAACGGCATGTTTGTTAAAGAACAGAATTTTTATTTAGGACCAAGAAAAAAAGTGTAAAATTAAAGAAAGATCTTATTTATCAAAGAAATTAAAAACATTCTATAAATTGTAGACTTGACAATAAGAGCACAAGACTATTCTGGATTCCTTTTCTCGTTGCTTATTCGTGCATGCGAGAAACTCGTATTGTTCTTTTCGTGAAATTAAAATGGAACTTAATTTACGATGTGTGAAAGCTTATCCTTTCCATTATGTGGTTAATAACAATGAAACAACTAAATAAAATAAATTAGTTTCCTTTTCTTTCTTTAAACTAAATACATTTTAATCTTTTGTTTCTTTTCACCTTCATCCATATAGAAGTATCAGGACTTATTGCATGGTTAAAAGATGTAATAAAGGGGCGTAAATAAAGCGCTCCTTTCGGAATTATATTCCTGGTAACGTTTATAAGATTACTTAATGTTTCGAAATTATCAGACATATTTTTCATTTTTACTGTAATCACGAAAAATTTCGGCCATCCTATTTCAACATAAATATCCATTTTAACTCCACTCCAATCCATTTGAACGAAGTTTTTGCCTGACATCTGTACGTACGGATGGAATAAAGGACTGTTTTTTTTTTTTTCCAAAACGGATTGTAAAATTTATTCAGAAGAGATTTTTTCGTGACGTCTCTACGTATGTATACAAGTATGAATGCGTTTTTCATATAATTAAAAAACCATGTAGCCTTAGAACGTTAAAATTTTGTATATGTGACTGCTATAAGTTCTCACTTTTGGTTACAATGGGTAGCAGCAAACGTGTATATATATATACATATAATTACAAAACAATTTTTTAAAAAACAAAATAGAAACATATATCTATACATATACACACATAAAGATACCTAATATACACGATTGCAGTTATTAATATTGTTGAAGAATTGCCTTGCTTTGATTCCAATTTACATTTAACTTTAAATGCTTTAAGTTTATATATATGTGATGTACCAGCTTTTGTCCGAAATAAATAGATGGGTGAAGATTCATAAATGTAGTCATAGCTTAAATTATCAGACGATAAGTTTAAAAAACAGGATCCATTTATTTATTGGTCAGGAGAAATAGCAGTCACAAAATCAGATATCCGGAGTAAATAAAAAGAATTACTAATAATTTTTTGTATGACGTTTACTGCATCGTGACATTTATGAAAAGCCTCCGATATTCTTTTGCGAGTCCTTTTATAGCCTCTGGAAAGGCAGAGCATCCAAGAAATGACGTCAGCCTCGTCAGCCAATCCAGTTCGCTTTAAATATTTCCAGAACATTCTATAACTGTACGTGTAGAAAGGGCGGGAAAAACAACTTGACTACGGGGCTGTGGATTTAATTTCACGTACTTTCAAAAAGAGAACGTTGCCATTAAAAATGAAAAGAACATACAGTTAGAAATTTAAGTGTATTCTTGACTATGGAATTTTATTATTACATATATATATACGCACTTTGTTACCCGGTGAGCTCAGGTTTTTATTCTGGTTTGGTTTATTTAATTATGGCAAAGCACACTAGGGCTATCTGCCTAAGGGAAGGGATGCCTTCGTGGAGGACTTTCTAAGTGAAACTGACTCGTATACACGTTACACATGGGGAAAACCACGAAAACGCCCATGCAGCCAACCCGTTCGCGGGATTTGAACTTCGGACGGAACTACCAGTGTTCAGCGACTTTACCGCTCGGCTCTAGTGGGCGGTTTTTATTCTTAATATATTGATAAATTCGGTATTTTTTACTTTAAACGTGGTTGAATTATGTTGCTCTTATGTTCCGGTTTAATCTGAACGTAATAGTTGTAAAAGTATTAACAATTTAAAAGTTTAAGTGGTACCTAAGGCAAACGAAGCGCCAGTTGTTTACATTTGAAACTATTAGTAGAGTAGTGAATTAAATCAGTTATTACACCAGCTTCAGTATTCTTTTGTCGATTGGGACTAAAAGGTGCACAAAACTTTCAATTTTGTGTACCTAAAAAAAAATCTGTCTTCTCGGTGGCCGAATTGCTTGTTTTTGCGCAGAAACTCTAAGTTTAATTTTGTACAAACTGTTTTTTAAATTGTGTTTGCTGTTTCACGTTTTTCTACATTTTACAGTTTTTAATGAAGATGTTTTATCTATTTTTGCCTTCCCGCGACATGAGAACTGAATTGGTTAAATGAGAATGATACCTGCAATGAAATTCGAAGAAATAAAAAAAAAACTTTTAAGTGAAATGCAGCAAAAAAGTGTATAATTTAATAGGAAGTACAAGGACGTCTTGTTGTGTCCACATTAGACATTTTACACGAAAATAATACCTTTCGTTGCCGTCTGAGAAATTAAATCTTTACCTTTAAAGTTAAAAAAATATTAAATATTTTAATTTAAGTATGCGAGCCTTTGCTTCAGTATTTCGCTTTGAAATTAATTTTGTAGCAAAAATATTGATAAAAGCGTCAATATGAAACACGAAATCCAAACGATTCTGTAGAAGGTACAGAATATATGAGCTTAGACACATCTAAGCTTAAAATTAAAACTTTGCTTAAGGTACTAATAAGAATTGTATTTTAAGTGGGTATGTTAAATTATGTGTCACAATTAAAATGGAGATCACCGTCAAGAGTCTTTGCCATTTCGTCCATTCGCCATTCGTATATCATCCGTGCGCTGCAATACTAGCAAAACTTGAAAATTAGGAGTTTTAAGTTATAGCCGATCTCAACAATGTAAAATCGTCTTTTCGAGGTAGGAATAACAATGTATTTTAGTTCAGTACCACGCTAACAATATATACTGTGCAATTACAACTGGAGGTATTTACTCCTATTACTCGAGCTTATCATATTTAAACATTTGAGGACACCGAGTATACTCACGACAATCACTGCATGATGATTTTCTCGTCCCGAGGTAACTCGGGTCAGTCAGGAAGAAGGGTAATAAACTAAGTTTATTGGATAAATTCCTATTCATATTTTTTAACACACCTCATAAAAAGTACTTAAAAAATCTGATGTGTACACCACATGACTTCCTTGTACGGAATATTAAATTATACTGATTTTTTCTTGAATTTCGTTTAAACTTATTGGATTTAATTAAATCTACTTTAGAATAAATGCATTCTTTAAAAGTCACTCTATTTGTTTACCATAGCGACACTCTGGCGCTAGGTTCACTTAACAAAGTATTGTAGTCAAACTTAAGTATTATATTTCGTTCATATTATAACTCAGAATGCACAAAATTTATATTTAAAGAATTATCTAATTGTTGCAATATGTTCTATTCAAATACTATAATAAAGCTAGAACCATGTATAAAAGAAATTAAGCAAACAAAACAAAAAAGAAACAGTTTTCCACAGACGATTGTTCTCATTCAATTAATTCAGTTCTCACTTCGCGACAAGGCAAAAATACATAAAAACTCAAAATATCTGTATTAAATATTACGAAGTAAATTTTAAACACTTATTTCCTCGAAAAAATTCCAGAAAGGATTAAGCATGATTTAATTCGCAATAATAATGAAGGCTTTATCTTTGTTGTTGCGAAGCTTAGTCTCTCTAAACTGGCAACAAATCCACTACTCTGCATTTTTAAATGTAAACAAGCAATGGCCGCCATCACAAAAAATTATTAGACTTAGCGGCACTTAAACAACTTTTAAATTGTTGATAATTCTAAAAATATTGCATGCAGATTTACTAAAGGCATAAAAACCTTAACCGGAAAGATAAGAAGCACATGTAATTCAATCATTTTTAAAGCAAAAAATGTACAATTTACCAAACATATAAGAGTAAAGAAACTGAGATCACTGAGCCGGGTAACAGAGTGGATATATATATATGTATAAATATATTTATATACGTTTGGGGCAGCCGATTGCAACCAAAATACGAGGTGCACATCTACGTGTTATAGCAGTCCTATATAAGAAATTTCAACGTTCTGAGGCTATTCGTTTTTGAGTTATGGGAGATACGTACGTACATACGTTCGTACAGACGCCACGAAAAATTCTCTTCACAATTCATTTTAAAGCAGTTTTATAATTTTTTGGAGGAAAAGAGTCTTTTATTCTGTCCTTACGTACAGATATCACGCAAAAACATCGTTAAATTTCATTCGATAGCGGTCAAAATGGATATTTTCGTTGAAATATGCTGCCTGAAACTTTTCGCGATTAAAATACTTTCTTTTTACTTCGTAGAAGGAAGTAAAAAAGATATATTCAGTGTGTTTCGGAGTAGGATGATTTTAACAGAAAATGCTGTTATCATGATGCCTGAAATCTAACCTTATTTTCCAGGTCCATTCGATGTAGACATGATGGACACCTTTGATCTTCCTCTGGTACAATATTCCGAATTTCGCCAAGTGCGTGTTGCATTCGATGGAGACTTCGAACGTGTCCAGGAGGACGAAAGAAAATTCACGATATTTTTCCTTAATTGTTTCGGGAGGAGGTATCCGAATGTTAGGTGGCAGAATGTAACAATATCTGAAGGTAAGTTTTTTGTAGAATGGAACAAACTGCTTCTAATCTATTTAATGCCATTAAGTATTCTGTCCATGGAATATCCCGAGTTCATTAAAATTTAGGTACCCGCTTTATATTTTATTGAGTTCTCCTATGGCTCAAAGGTGTTCATATAGGAATATTTTTATGTGTTGTACCATAAAACCACTAAAAATTACATATTTTTAGTCTGTTGATTAAGCCATCAGCCATGCTCAGCAATATAAAATGAAAAACAAAGTTCTCTTTAAACTAGAATGGAAACAATGATAAGTTCCTTTGCCAAAATGCGCATTAAAATAAACAGCATTTTAGATAAATAAATAACTTGTTCCATGCGCTCTGTTTGCTTACGCTTTCACTGAAATGGCAGTCTGCTATTACTCCACTCGCTCCTACTACCCATTCTTTTTTTTCCTTTTTGCTTTATTATTAAACAACATTTTCTTCGCACTTAACGTCACATACAATTCAACAGAATAAATTAACAAAATTTTAAAAGCAACATAGCAGTATACATTTAGGATTCCCGATGCAGCATTACGTTATATTTTTCTGTTTTTCTCCCCAGTCTTTCTCAGTTCATCATATCAGTATTCAATTTTTTTTTTTACTAAGATGGCTTTACGAAACTATTTTCTGTCTTTTTATTCCTTCTTATTAACATTTTGTGCGTTGATTTCGCTTATTAAATAACATGTTTTTGGCGCTTAGGTCACATGCAATTCGATTCAGCATAAAAATTCGATTTTAAACATAGAAATTCGATTTAAAACATAAAATTCTATTCAACTGAAAAATCACTTAGTATTTGAAAACAGCATATCTTTAGAATTGCCGGTGGACAGTCTCGCTCGCTGGAGATAAAAATGTTTATTCTGTGCAGTGTTGCCACTGCTGGCTTTAAAATCGTTGAGTTTGTTAATAAAAAATTCGTTAAAGTTTAAAAAAAAATGTGAAATAGATAATAAAACAAATCCCAAATCCAAAATTGGATGGCTGTAGGTACTATTGTTTTTCCACAATGCGAGAAAGATACATACATTCCTGCAGATTCTTTATTATTTAATTAATTTAAATATAATAAATATTGGCTGGCAACTGTTTGAAAAATGATACGCCATTTATAGTGATTCAACGCAAAATGCCGTTTCGAGATTAATATCTCATTCGAGACTAACGATCGTTTTTGGCTTTTTTTTTTAAAAAAAAGCTTGCTCTGTTGCCCGAAATGTGGCAATGCTGCCGAAGTATTATTCCAGTCTTACCTGATCCTTAAATTATTTTTTGTTTATTTGGATTTGACAAAAAGCGCAGTAGGTATCTGATCAAGAATGACATGAATTCGTGGAGAACTGTCTAAGAGAAACTATCTTATATTTCCTTTATATAAGAGAAAATCACGCAAAGCCTATGCAACCACCTCCATAATTTTGCGATACAACTAAATAAGAACTATTTTTATTATTCCAAAACCAGTCCTCACAACTTGTTACAGAGACGATGTACGATGACAAAGTGGTTATCTGGAATCACGGCTCATTTCCCCTTTGGATTCAATATTTTTCGAAAATCCTTTAATCAAATATAAATACTCTGAAAATATCCACTCACCTGATTCCAGAAGTGCTGAAGCGTAATGATTTGAGGAACGTCATTTCGTGCAAATTTTGCGAATTATATTTGGCCGTGAGTGTGAAACCACTGCTGTAGGATCATTTCGGAAATTGAATCTCGCATCATTATTCGTCCTAACGCGACCCTCTGATTTAACACTGATGGAGTTCTGGTTTTAAGGTTAATTCCGGAATCTACCGGATTAATTCATGTAATTTAAGTCATATGCTGTTAAAATATACTTATGAGTCTGGCTACCAAATGGTTCACTTATTCAGATCTACTCTTTTCCTGCTGGATTTCACATTCAGAGATATTAAACCTAAATGAAACTTTATTTATCCACTTCTGATGAAGCTAAATTGTAAAATAGCTGAAGTTACTAAAACGTGCAGTACGCAATAGCCGTCAACTTGTAGAGTCATTGGGTTATTTTGAATCAAGAGACATGAACAATGAGCATTGCCCTCGCCGAGACCCGAACATGCAGCTCCCGAATACGGGCCGAGCGTGCTAACCATTACATCACGAAGGCATGCCGGAAGGAAGGAGTAAATTATTTTATAAACTTATTGTCGCTATATTAAAAAAAAATGAGCCATCCTTTCTTTGCGTATAATAAATTTGCAAAAGCGACTGTATCGCAAACACTGCAGTCTTTTTTCAGCAACTAAGCACTTACAGTTGTAGACATATAAATTTCGGAAGCCAGAAAGTACGAAAAAACATTTATATCGTCTTTGAGATCCGGAACACGCATCTTTCATTTACTAGCTGGATATCCTGCAATCTGCACCACGAGAGTACGCATGGCGGAATGATATACATGTTTTATTGTTTCGCCCAATTAAAAGACAAATGCGAGAGGCACGATCTCCAGTCGACCAAATATAGGGGGTGAGGAATTATCATCCATTATATTAAGTTTTCAGAGCGGGAATCTTGAGAAATGTATAATTTTCTCACCGAGATTCGAAGCATGGATCTTCCAACCGGTAGACCAACAACATACACCACACACGAAAGCACACGGGGGGGGGGCGGGTGGAGGCAATAATTCTTTATAAAGTCATTTACCAACTCGAGAGGTCCACCAGTGGCCGAGCGGTAAAGTCGCTGAACACTGGTAGTTCGGTCCGAGGTTCGAATCCCGCGAACGGGCTGGCTGCATGGGCGTTTTTGTGATTTTCCCCATGTGTAACATGAATACGAGCCAGTTTCCCTTAGAAAGTCCTCCACGAAGGCATTCCTCCCCTTAGGCAGATAGCTCTCGAGGCTTTGCCATAATCACACACACACCAACTCGAGAACCCGAACGGTAAATGGGAAAACTAAGGTTTTCGGCGCATACAACCTGTTGCTAACTTTCTCCGAGGCAGCGTACAGGCGTTCACTGAAACAGGCTTGAGATGGAGTTGACCAGATTTGTTTTAAACTTGCTTTCGCGTGCTGGTCTGAGCGAATGTATACGACGTGAACCACAGAAAAGATATAGCAGTGTTCAATTTAAGATTCACTGTTAGTGAAACGTACACAGTTTAAGACAGCTCACTTTACTCCTTTAGGACTATTACTCTTTTAAGTCAATTCACAAATTGGCTTAACCCTCTCGCTGCGCGTTCAGCGATTTCCACAAGCAACGTAGAAGTAGCAAAATTTGCGCAACTTCGCGACTTCCGCTGCGATGAATTTTTGCCGTCTATTTAACTGTGCAACCCGCTCTTTCCCCGTTCAAGGTTTCCTTTCGGCTTTTCTGTGATATTTAATTATTTATTTAGATGTGGGCTAACAGATGCCGTTAGTTGTCCCCATTTCTGCCAAATATACAAGAATACATAAATTATCATTTTGCATGCACTTTTCAGAGCTCAATGATGTCTGGCAGGAAGCATTTCGTGAGTGCTATAACCTATATTCCTGACGATATTTCCGACACTGATAGTAGTTCTGACTCTTATTTCAAGTATATTGAAGATAGTTATAGCGAAACTGATAAAAATATCTCAGATTCCTAGATTGTGAAATGAATCTGAAAATTCAGTTTCTATTGAAAACGTTCAACAGCAGTGCAAAATTGTTATGCAAAATATTACATTATGCAAATATTGTCATTAGTATATATGTTTTACCTTTGTATTTTATAAAATAAATCATTATTCTTCTTTTATATCATTATTCTTCAATTTCAGTATTCTGACAATTTTTTTCTATGATCTAATTCTGTATTAAAAAAAAAAAGAAAAAACTTTTTTTTTACAAATTGTTTTGTATATTTTAACTTTAAAAGTATGTAGATTTGAAATATGTAATAAAAAATACGAAATTTGTGAACCTATTTTGATATTATTTGTAAAGAGTCATAAGGGAAGTGTGGATTATATCAGTTGATATGTGTCGTGTTACTTTAGTTCTGTCGTTGATCGTATGCAGCGTCTACTGGACAATAATGGAATAAATAGCGAACGTCTGTAACAACTGTCTGTAATTAAATAGCTTCTGTTCACTCTCACTTTCGTATTTTTCACTTCTTCATCAGTTTCTGCTACTTTCCTTATACCATCTTCTCACACACAGTTTAGGAACGGTATCGCTGTCACTTTTCGCTTTACACAGAACTTTCCAACTTGTGCGTGACGGTTGATCTACTAACCGTCATGCACAGCTTTCAGTTGGTACGAAATCATAGTGATTGTTTCGGAAAATTTAGGGATAAAAATTTATGTTAACTGTAACTGAGAAAAGTGTTCTAATTTAGTTTCCTATATCATGAGCACATATAGTTGTAACTTACGTTAAGAATTTTGCAATATATTCATCTTTTTCTACGTTCCTTATATCGTCGAAGTTAGTTGATCAATTATTTTAGAATTATTTGTATATCTCTTGTTTATATTATTAGATGTACCACATAAATTGCCGCCCAGACGGTATAGTGGTTAGGGAAGCCTACTGCATTACCGAAGGGCCGGGGTTCGAATCCCGGAGCAGACGTGGATGTTTGTAAATGTATAGTGTCTTTGCGGCACGGGGACACTCTAAATGTATGGAGAGCCAAAAGTCATCTTGTGTGGTTTGGTGGAAGGGGAGAGGGATAGGAGACTCTCAGACCCCCCTTCGGGGTGCTCTCCCTCAAAATTGTGGTGGAAGTAGAAATCCAACCTCCTCTAGGCTCTGACAACTATTCTTCCATGAAATTTATAGACAAGACAGCACCATCGCATTAGCCTTCATATGTTAATTCATAAACACAGTGTTGGAATTCCATAGCATTTTATAAATGAGATTATTATGCAATTAAGAGCTGCATATTAATAGAGGTGAAAACAGGCTTATTAAAAGGGGACTCATACACCTTAAAACCCATAAGAGGTTCGAATAGGTGACTGTTGCAAGATTGAAAACTTATTATTTTAAAAGAATTACTACCAATTTTTACATGACTGCATAAAATAGCTGCTTTCTGAAATAGTGATCATAAAGTTTGTGTTGCAACAAATATTTTTATAATTTAATCCGCTTGTGACAAAATGTTTCGTCATGTCTCCACTTTGCGCACACAGTTTAAAACATTCTATTGCACAATTTAATTCTATATTTAATATATAGCTTTTGTAACATTTGGAAACTACTGTAAACAAAAAATCCTAAGAATGTCGTGTTAAATTTTTATTTTATTTGGAGTTGAGTTTGTAAAATGTATTTTAGTAACAAAATCTGGAATGTTTTCGTGCATAAAACTTTTTAATATTAACATATTCATCAGATTTTTCGTTCAGTAAGCAAATAGTGTCCATATAAAGAATCCCATCCAATTTCAAGTATGTACCATTAGCCATTTTTAAAATATCATTCGCGCAAGGTGAAACATGGCGAAATTTTTGTCACAAAGAGGATTCAATTACAAAAATTTGTGGCAACACAAACCTTTCTTGTTACTAGTTCCAAGCACTATATTATGTAGTCAGCTGTTAAAAGTTGGAAGTAATTGCTTTTTAAAATAAATAAATATCCAATTCTCTTGCAACAGTCACATATTCGAAGATCATGAGGGGTTTAAGGTGTGTGAGTCCCCTTAAAATAAATAAACTCTGAGAAAACAAGACAAGCGTTCCTATAGAGTTTGAAACCATATTCTAAGCATACTTGCTTTCACAAATTTTTCTTTTGATATATGCGATCATCCTTTGGCGTATCATTAATTATAACTGCTATAAATAATAATTAATATAAATACTAAAAACTCTAACAATATTAAAATAACATTTTCCCGGTGAAATCATGCAGTATTATATAAGTTGTCTCCGGAAACAGTAGGAAAATAAATAATGCATTGGCAGCTTACCCATCCAATTATCCGAAGACGTTTCTGTATGTTTACCTTGGATATTAAAATATTTTCTTGTGCTTTCTTAGGAAGCGTTGTAGTGGATGCTGTAATAACAGGGATAACGGAAGAGCTTGAAAGGACCTCGAATGAACTTGACGAAGACATTGAGAACGGTCGAGCAGATATCCAATATGAAGAAGATCGTGTATGGAAGGCAAGGAGTGCTTTTTCGCCATCCAGGGTAAGAATTATTGGGAAATGAAATCATTTTCTCCTTTTTTAATCTCAGACTACTCAAGCTCTGGGAAAAATAAATAGCTTCTTAGTAAATTTTATGACGCCGTGCATAAGAATTTATATACAAAATATTTTGTGCGTAAATACGATGTTCATTATACCGCTATTAAAAGCGCTATATATAATGCTTTTTTTAGACTAGATAATAATGTAAAAACCTTTTCTTTTTCGCATATTCATATTTCAAGGCCCACCAGCGGCCGAGCGGTAACGTCGCTGAACACTGGTAGTTCAGTCCGAGGTTCGAATCCCGCGAACGGGCTGGCTGCATGGGTGTTTTCGTGGTTTTCCCCATGTGTAACGTGTATACGAGCCAGTTTCCTTTAAAAAGTCCTCCACGAAGGCATCCCTCCCTTAAGGCAGATAGCCCTCGAGTGCTTTGCCGTAATCTAATAAACCAAAGCAAACCATATTCATATTTCAAGCAATACCTAACTAAATACTTTCTACAAAACGTACTTTGTTTTGAGGGATTTGAACTTTTCTTTTTTTGTGGAAGTTGTCATCTACCAAACAAACAAAACAAGTGGAAAAGAACATTAACATATTCTGCTGTCTCACATTTCCTGTTCTTAAATATGTATTTCTAACATTATTAGCTTCTTTGTAATAATATCACTTTAGTGACAGCATAATTATTATTTTACCTATTTTGTTCAAAAAATAAGAGCTTTTGATTACCAGATAGAGAACTGCATTTATTATCATCTATATCTTATCTCTGTCTTTTCAACATTAAATAAATAAATACATAATATATATGTATGTATATGTATATATATATAAAGTACACAATAATTTAGTAAAGCAATGTTTTAAAAATAATTGCACATGTAAAAATTAATACCATAACATTGTTCAAAGAACTCATAAAATATGCGTCTGATAAAAGTATTAGGATAAACTACACAGAAAAATAAGTACCATAGTTACAAGGGATGTTCAAATACAAGCAAGAATGTGTCATCTAAATTTTATTAATTGAATACCACGACATGACATAAAAAGTAGTTTTCTTTATTTATGCACTTGTTCTAGCAGGTGACAGGTGACGGAGGACGGGACGCCTGAAGTTTAACAGAGGTTAAAAGGATAGTCCTCGTCCCCCTAGTTTTTTAATAGTATAAGTGTGGATACGGCCATACAGGGGCAACTTTTGAAATCTGGCATTTAAGTACATTTGAATTAAATTGTTGAAAAAAAAAAAAAAAAAAAAAAAAAAACAAACTTAATAGGTTATAAAAAAGAAGAAACAAAACACCTCCAAATGTGTTCAATTTCTCTGCTCCTATGCGTCAGAGATGGATGGTAGAGATTAGAGTGCATATGTCGTGCAAGTAATGCATGTAGCCATATTACTTGGTGACAGAGTCCTGGCCATATGCTGCAATGGTGGTTATTATTTTGAGATTTTATTTTGGCCGCTTGTTTTTGGCTAGAATTGTGAAATGCTGAGATATTGGCTGGTATCGGAAGGAATGTTCCTGAGGGGCACTGAAAGAATAATGGTCGGTGACCCTCACCCCCGCAAACACAGCGTCCGTGGTGAGATGGGGGCTGTAGAAGAATCGGGAGGGACCATGCCAGTAATGAGTTGTAAGGGGAGCATTGCATAAGGCGCTCCGTGTTACTTTTGGCAATAAGGCTATGAGCTCTCTCCCGTTCCCTTGATCCTTCTCTTTGCCCCCTGGTAGCGGCATTTCGCGTTGACTTTCTAGGAAAATGGTGGTGCTGATACTGAATCGGTCGGCATTTGGTTCGAAGCAGCCTCTTTAGCGATTCATCGCCCTTGTTCTAGCGCTAGATACTTCTTAATTCCAGAAAAATAAAGGTTCTAAACTTATTTTACTGCATTTCAATTACCGTAGGCCACCAGTGGCCGAGCGGTAAAGTCGCTGACACTGGTAGTTCGGTCCGAGGTCGATTCCCGCGAACGGGCTGGCTGCATGGGCGTTTTCGTGGTTTTCCCCATTGTTGTAACGTGTATACGAGCCAGTTCCCTTAGAAAGTCCTCCACGAAGGATCCCCCCTTAGGCATATAGCCCTAGTGTGCTTTGCCATAATTAAATACACACACATACAAATTCACGTAACTAAGACGATCTAAATTAAGCCTGTATACTATACTTTGTTTAACCACGTGCCTACACTAAATTCACGTTGCGGTGCCGGCGCTACAATATAAAAGGGTAAAGTGTCTCATTTACGCCGCCGCTTCTGCGAGTGCAATCAAGCTTACTCAGAAAAAACATCTCGTTGTTAGCCGACGTGTGCACCACGTTATTTTCATTTTTGCGATGAATGCCTATCGACGTGGTGTTCACGTGGGTCGCGTTTTGAGAGAAAAGCATCTCGACAGGCGTAGCACGTCTTTTTAGCGCAAGTGGTTAAGTTACTTAGCGATTTCTCTAACGGTTATTCGCCGATCGACTCGAAACAGTGCATCAACAGCAACCAGCTTGTCTTCCTCGGTCAAGATTCTCGACTGACGAGCACGTGGTTCATTTTCTAATTTCAGCCAACTTTCAGATTTGCACTCTAGATTGCATACCTCTAAACTTATTTTTTAATCTGACATAAAATAACTCCTTCATTAGTAAAAAATGTAGTTAGGATTCTCTCCTCAATACTGTTATGAGACTTCTCAATATGTTATCAGACATGTTGATTATAGGGATGACGGAAAGAGGTGCTAACACTACTTTGCCAATTTCGGACACATTTGTGCGGCCAATGAGTCATGATTTCGAAGAGCCCTTTGCGACAACGGAGCATAAAATTACTACTTAAATTTCAACATCCTACATAAATCTTTGTAATATTGCCAAGGGAACTGTGAAACTTCTGAAAAGAAGAAAATAAGAAAAAATGGCGGCTATTCTGTAAGAATTCTGTGACTAATGTTTTTGATATTTAACTGAGAACGTTCGAGAGGAGAAAAACCACGCAGTGAGGCAAAATGGACTGGTAAGTTTTAGAAAGGTTAAGTGATTTATTATTACTGAAATGCCGAGCAAAAGTGATTGTTTCCCAGCATTGCATTTCTAATACCAATATTTATGAGATGCTAGTATAACATAAATATTGAAATGGATATTGGAATCTCATAAATATTGGAATACAAGGAGGCAGCTACCTCCATATTTTTCAAGCCTAGTACATTCATGAAGCTTACAAATATGTGGCAATATGATGAATTTTTGTAATATTAATTTAGCAAATGTTGATAGAAATATTTCCTTTTTCATCTGTTCAGTGTTTAGAAAATATGTTACCAGATGCAGTTTTAAATTTGTATCTCACTAAATGAACCCATTTCCTGCATCTTTTTATAAGCAGTGGAATTTTAATCAAATCTGAATTAAATTCATCGTGTGTATTCTTCATAAGTTACGAAAAATCATCAATAAGTATCTTAACACTAAGTACTAGTCACTTCATTCAGAAATCAATCTTAGATGTCTTTAAAACGATCAAAAAATGTGCATCTAATAAGAACTTATGCTCAGAATCTTCGTAGTCATGTCAAAATGGTCTGTGGTACTATGTATATTCGCATCTTTCATGTTATTGTGCAATTTTTGTTTTTGTGTTTCTGTATTGCACATTTGCTCTTGAGCTTGCCCCACATAACGATCATATTTCGTGACGAATCCTTTAATAGCTTTAAAAGCTTCTGTTAGTTTTGACATCATTATACAGACAAGATGTTTTAAATGACAATAAAAAGAAAAATCACCTCCATGAAAATACATAATCAACCAATTTGTGAAAGATAGCTACTTTTTATAAACTACATTAAGAATTATTTTCTGGGTAAGTATATCTAGATTGCTTCACTTATGCTAAGGTATTCCCGCACGAATTAAATACGTAATTGAGAATTTGTAAGTGTTCGATTATTAATTTATTTACAAGTTTATGATATTAATTTAAAGGAAAATTGAGACATCGATAAAAAATAAAAAAAAACATTTAATGATTAAAAATCATAAAATATATCGCCTAAGCATTTAATGAAAAGAAAATCTTAAAGTTAATTGATAACTTTATTAAACTTGTTTTATTGAATGACAGACGGCAGCAACTGAATTTTTTCATTTGTTAAAATTTTGCTGTGCATCAGTCGGATATATTCGTTCTTTGTGGACGTATCAAAACCTTTATTAATTATTTCATTATATGATAACTTTAAATAAATTTGGTTGAAATAATAGAAAACATTTCATTGACTAAATTACTTAATATAACTGATCTAAAGATCATACATATGTTATGAGAGTTATTAAAGGAATACACATTTTTTTTGTTTAGGCTAAATTTACATAAGATCTGTTTGAAAAGCTTATGTGATTCTCTGGAATATGACATGCATATAGAATTTCCCTGTTTTAAAAAGCTTATAGAATTTTCTGAAAAATGGCATGCACAAAGAAAAAGCTTGTTTGAAAAGCTTACGGAGTTTTTGGAAAATGGCGTCTATAAAGAATAAGCTTGTTTGCAAAGCTTACAGAATTTCCTGAAAAATGGCGTGCATAAAGAATAAGCTTACTTGCAGAGCTTACAGAATTTCCTGGAAAATGGCGTGTGTACAGAATAAGCTTGTTTGCAAAGCTTACAGAATTTCCTGGAAAATGGCGTGCATAAAGAATAAGCTTACTTGCAAAGCTTACAGAATTTTCTGGAAAATGGCGTGCATAAAGAATATGCTTGTTTGAAAAGCTTACAGTATTTCCTCGAAAATGGCGTGCATAAAGAACAAGCTTGCTTGCGAAGCTTACAGAATTTCAGGGAAAATGGCGTGCATAAAGAATAAGCTTGTTTACAAAGCTTACAGAACTTCCTGGAAAATGGTGTGCATAAATCAGAAGCCTGCTTTAAAAGCTTATTGAATTTTTGGAAAATGACGTGCATAAATAATAAGCTTCCTTGCAAAGCTTACAGAATTTTCTGGAAAATGGCGTGCATAAATCAGAAGCCTGCTTGAAAAGCTTACAGAACTTCCTGGAAAATGGCGTGCATAAATCAGAAGCCTGCTTGAAAAGCTTACTGAATTTTTGGAAAATAGCATACATAAAGAATAAGAGAAGTTGTTCAAAGTTAGGGGTTTCATAAAATTCTCTAAAGCGATTCTTTAGACAGAACAATTTCTTGCATAACAAAAATACAATCTATTATACACTGAAGTGACAAAAGTCATGGGATAGCAACATGCAAATATACAGATGGAAGTAGTATCGCGTAGAAAATGTATAAATGCGAAGTGCTTTGGCAGGGCTTTCATTTGGTTCAGTTATTCATGTGAGAGTTTGACGTGATTATGGCCGCACGAGAGAATAACAGATTTGAAAGCGGAATGGTAGTTGGAGCTACCGCATGGGTCATTCCATTTCGGATATCGTTAGGGAGTTCAACATTCCGAGATCCACAGTGTCCGAGTGCCGAGAGTATCTATTCAGGCAAATATCCCACCATGGACAGCGCAGTGCCCGACCACCTGCACTTAACGACCGAGACCAGCGACGTCTGCGTGGAGTTGTCAATGTTCACAGACAAGCAACACTGCGTCAAATAACCGCAGAAACCAATGTGGGACGCTGATCAATTAGCTGAAGTTGAAAGGTGAGCTGGTTAGATTTTTGAAACAATGATATCGCCTTTTAGCATGTTCGTTCTTTTCAGCTTAATGGGGTGATTTCTGAAATAATTAATTTCAAGTTCATTCTGAATAATTTTTACTCAGCTCTTGGGAAAATACGAGTGTTACTGAAAATATTTCTTGAAAGCTACTGCTACAGGAGAAAAATGAAATGTTTTACTTTTCTAGAAATTTAAGAATCACGTTTGATTAACATTTTAAATGCATTGTACACAGCGCGGAAGAAAAAAAAAAGGACAATTCTATATATCCCGTTTTACTGGACCGATTAACGAAATCCAGATTGTGTTTTTTATGTCTCGAAAGCGCGACTTAGGATATATATTTGTTTTATATATAGCATTGTTGAAACATAAGGATTTTGACACAAAATCGGACTTTTCTTGAAATCGCATGACAATTTTTTTCCATATTTCGATTCTACGACTCAAATTAGGCCTAAATATTAAAATTTGTAAAAGTTGGTGAGAAATTTACGGAAATATTCAAAACTTTATCTTGGCGTATTTTTTCAGTTTGCTTCAAGAATAATTCATTTGGCGAACTTCTTAATTTATGGCAACGTATTTTCTTTCTCTTTTTACATTGTGCGCGAGGGGGGGGGAAGGTCCCTTCGTTCCTACGTCAAATAATTTTAACAAAGTGCCTAAACCATATTTGACGTTTTATCGCATTCAACAAATATGCCAAATTTCAAAACGCGTCAGTATTAAAAATCACATATATCTTCGGAAATTTTGAATAAAAAAACTAATTTTTTGCAGTTATACTTAGAAATACATCTACTTTAAGATGATGGTAAAACATTTATAGGTTATAATTCAAAATTGTTTTCGAAAAATTTATAAAAATGATTTAAAAATACAAATTATAAAAATAAGTCATAAAAAATAGACGAATTTTATTTGAAATGAATCTAAACATCGAAATGTGAAAGGAAGAATCAAATATGATTAATAAGAAAAGCGAGATTGATAAATACATACCAAATTCAATTAACATTGAGGAGCTAAAATTGTGAGCGCTAATTTTTTAAAAACTACTCGTGCGATTTACGAAACTTGGCAGTTTGGCATAATTTAAGTCATAGACTCGAACCATGGGAAAAAATCGTCACATCATTTCAGAAAAGTCCGATGTTGTGTCAAAATACCTATATTAGAACAAAGCTATATATAACTCTAATACATATCCTAAGTCGCGCTTTCGAGACATGAAAAACGCAAGTTGAATTTCTTCAATCGGCCCAGTAGAACGGGAGATATAGAGTCTCATTTTTTTGCAATGTATATGTGTATTATTTAGAGCTTAGTGATGTAATTTATTGATTCTGTAAGTGTTATGCGTAAGTATCGATTATTAAGTTGCGGTATTTTCGTGTCATAATTAAATTTTTCTGAACTATCCCACAAAGTCATTGGACAAAAAATTACTTATTGGAAATTAGAAGTTTTATTTAAAGCAGAAATTTAAACGGCTTTATTTTAACTTTTAGCTGCAAAGCCTTTGACGTTAAGCATAACACTAATTCTGTTTATCACAGAATACATTAATTTTTTATATTTTTTCAATAAACACGTACGCCTTACACAATTCTCTAAAGGTCTTTCATATTTGATGGGCGATGTCTTCTGTTTTAACATGACATAAATTCTCAGATGGATTTAGCTTCGGTGACTGAGAAGACATGACTGTATCAATGCTGTTTCTTTCGAACTAGCTTTCTTTGTTGAATGCTTTAGAGGAATGCCTTGTTGATAACGCTAGTGCCTTGTGCCCATGGTAATATTGTGCTCTATAAGAGTTCTATACACGCATCTTCAGTTATGATTTGTTCGAAAAATTGGTTCCAATCATATTAGGAAAACTACACAGTAACATAAGACTGCCACCTTCATATTTAACAGTATTACAGACACCTTTTGGATTCACTTTTAACAGTATTACAGGTACCTAACAGTATTACAGTTACCTAACCAAGAGGTCGGCTAGCAAACTCTTTTCCATCCATTATAAACGAATTAATTTTTGTTTCATTATTTTAGAGGAACGTTGGTCCACTTTTTCTTTTAATTTTCAGGATTGTTTTTGGTATGGCACAGTTTGAAAATACCTATGCTTTTCGGCATATCTTTTTAAAAAGGAGCGGTCCCTGGACTTTCGAGAATACATCATTCATTTGTGGCGGACGATGGGCTGTGTTGATTTCTAGCGCAAATATTTTCAACGCCTTGGGTGTTTTAACGTAGGCTTGCTCGTGACAACATCTATTGGTGGAATCAGAAGTCCGATGCGACAGGCCGCTTGGCGTTGAGGACAGAACTTGAATCATGGGAGTGAAATACTCTACCTTGTCTCAAAAGAGTTCTTCGGCGACTAGTTCAAATAATTCAACTCTTTTGAATTTGCGAGCATTGAAATATAATTTATCATCCACGAGTTCTTGTAGCTGTGGTAAGTTAGAAGTAAATTCTTGACTTCTTACAGACATTGAAATTTTCTTCTTTTGTCAATAACCACTGCTGTCTTTTAATTGTTGAGTTCATATTACTCATTTGGTTTGGTTTATTTCGGCAAAGCAAGCAAGAGCTACATGCGTAAGGAAAGGGACGCCTTCGTGAAGGATATTCTAAGCGATGGTTCGTATACACGTTACACACTGGGAAACCCACATAAATGCACATGCAGCTAGCTAAGTTATTAGTATTAATTTTTATAATGTTTAAATCAAAAACAAAAGTGAAAAAGTATGCATAAATAAACATCAAGTTTATTTTACTAAGAGAGAGAGAAAAGCGATACGAATAACTGAGCATCCGGAATACGTCAGGATTCGAATAACTAAACTTCTACTGTATATGCGAAGATGAATCACCCAAAAATTAAAAATCTAGAACATAAAATATTACATTTAAAATACGGTATTAAAAATGGCAAAAAAGTTGCTTTAAAAATAATTTGCTATGATTTTATTTCATTCAAAATTTACGTTTGAAAATTGTCAATAATTTAATAAATTATTTAAAGTCGAATTAAACCCAAAAGCTCAAATCTGCGAGATCTGAACGACTCGGATTTGCGCATTGCTAAGAATAATCAGAAATTAGACAGCTTTGGCGGAATAATTTTAAAGTAAAGTGCTAATGAATATTACAGTAATTTTATAGGAGGGAAAAACGACAATGAAAGTTTGGCGAAAAATATAAAACTGACGTAATGTTTGTACACATTCATCATTTCGAGCTTAAAACTGCGCCATACTTACTTTTTTAAATTTTACAAATCTCATAGGCTTGGACAATAAATATAGTACCTTTGAAATTTGCCAAATTATAATAAAATATAAATATTGTCAAAATTTTTAATACTATTTCAGTTTTTCCTTACGCATAGATGACTAATGTCTCCTACAGAAACTTCTGGAAGAAAGCGAAAATACTCAGGGACAGAATGGAGACGAAGGTGCCGGTGGACTTTCGGTCGCTTGGATCGTGGCCATTGTTGTCAACGTAGTCCTCATCTTGGCCTTCATAATCACCGTTATCTACTGTTACTGCAGGAGAAAGAGAGGTAAAATTGCAGGAAGGAAAACCTCCTTTTCGATTTGTTTGTGCTTTGAATATTTTATTTTGATTTTCACGAGTTTCGAATAGTAGCCGAATTGGATTTAGTAATGTGAACGCTTCACTGGTGTGGTAGGTTCAGAAGCAGCACAGTTTCTTAGAGAACGAATAATAAAGCTGATTCTTTATTTAAGATATTGTCATGACAAGAACACTTATTCAGAAGATTTCTTTAGATTTCGTATTCGTTCGTTAACTGAATACGGAATGAACTTTTGAAAAGGAAATGCGATGAAAGAACTGAATTTTCCTAAGACAATTTAGAACAAATATTTCGGCATTTCTTTTATAAACTTTCAGAAATTTACAACAATTTTGTCAGAGCTTTAATATTGTAGAACGTTTTCTATTAAATATGGTATTATCAGCTCAAGTTATGAATCATTTGATTTTTACTTGGAATTAATATCATAAATTCAGATTTCAGTTAGCAGTATTCCCCATAATTGCATTCATAAAAGTTGAAAATTTATTCCTTTTCCTGATGCCACTTAAGTAAACCTGAAGAGGTAAGAGGGCAACCTGAGGCTCCGTTGTAAATTTTCCGTTATCTTCAGTAATTTACTTCAATAATTAATGAATAATGATTACTTTCTTTAGTTCAAATGTCAGCTTAAGACATACATTGGATCTTTCTTTTTCCAACATGGAATGAATTTATAACCAACAAATTCGACAAGAAATATTCAAAGAAGGCACATAATTTAAAAAATACAAAAAGTTTTCATCTTTTTTCATTTAAATTGTTTTTCGCTGAAATTAAAACATGCAATACAATATTAAATCATTTTCTAATGTACTTTAAGGTATCGGACTACGTTATAATCGTCAGTTTTGATAAAATGTTTCAAAACAATTTACTGCATTATTTTAAAGCTTATACGTTAAATTTCCCAAAACTACTTTTATTTTGTGTCTCCGATCGTTAGAAGCTGAATTATGCCTCTTCTTGTTGTACAACATGAACCAGAATTTTCTGTTTAAGAATGATGTTTAAAAGTACGCAGGCTATTCTAAAATAACTTTAAAATGAAAATTTTTCATTTGAATACTCTTGGTGATGTTTGAATATGATTTTGAACCTTTCTGTTTGTTATTCGTCAAATACTTCTGTTCTGCAGAACACGCTGTAATTCTAGCCTCTAAAACTTTCCTTTAAAAACTAACGCATTTCTAAAACATTTGAATGCAACGCGAGCTAGAAATTTACATTCTAGCAGGAAAATGAAACATTAGGAGGATAGGGAAGCGCATTAACATAAAATAACTGGTTAAAAACTAAACGAAATTATATACAATTTGATATACACTGTGGGAAAAAAAATGGCGCAGTTCTGTATCTCTCGTTCTAGTGGCTCGATTGACGAAATTCAGCTCGCGTTTTTCATGTCGCGAAAGCGCGACTTAGGATATGTATTAGATTTATATACAGGATTGTTCTAACATAGGTATTTTGACAGAAAACCGAACTTTTTATGAAATAGCATACCGATTTTTCCCATATTTTGATTCTACGATTCAACTTATGTGCCTAGATATTAAATTTTGTAAGTTTTGGTGAGGAATTTATGGAAAAATTTAAAAATTTATCTTAGCGAATTTTTTTCAGTTTGCGCCAATAATAGTTCACTTTTGTGTTGGTTGTAACATGTGAGTTGACTTCAAATAGGTTAACAGCATTCATATGGTTACAGTATTGTTATACGCAATTCATAGTGAGTGTGTGTTTAATGACAAATAATTTTTTTTGGCCATTTTTTGTAAAAAAGATGTATTTTTCTATATGTTTTGCTCATTTATCATGGTATTTGGTAATAAAAACAAAAGTCTGAATATTATTTGCAAGTAATTATAAGATAAATATGATTAATCTTCGGATTATGGTAACTTGGCGATTTTTTGGCGAAAATTTGGCGACCAACCCTGCTACAGCAACCTGCTAGTTTTGTTTTCGACGCCATTTTGTTTTCACGAAGTAAAGGCTGTTTTTTTTTTTTTTAAACATTTTTCAACAATCTGCAACAATAACGCTTATGCTAGAACTTTTATGGAACAAAAGTGCTTATTTTGAGAAAGTGCAGAATCGCCCACTGCTTGCCGCGTTTTTGGACATACACGGTATCCATGTACACGTCGGCATATTTTCACTTAAAAAAAATCCCAGAATTGCTCAAAAATGTCATTGCGCACACTCTTGACTTTATCCATGTACACCTAAAGTCCTAGCTAGTAACCTTTATCGCCTTACCAAAATGTCGCCAAACTATGTTACCATATTCCAAAGATTAGCCGTAAATATATCCATTTAAAGCATTATTTCTGCTCTTAACTTTAATTGTTCCTTTTTAGAGAAAATTTACTTTTCTATACAGTGCGCCCTTTCAGAATTTGCAATAACATTAATTAAATAAATTAGATTTAATATCAGAGAAACAATAATACTTAAGCAAAGAATTTTGTTTCTTTAATACCATTCAAGATAACAAGACAAACCATAGAACTTAGCAAAACGTTTTACGCAGCAAAACACGAATCTTCGCAAGTAGATAATCGTTTAAACTTGAAATTTAAAGGAATAAAATTTAACAGTTGAACAAACGTTATTTCATCACAGAATAAAAGCTACAATATCTTTCTAAATTATGGCTAAATTTTCATTATAATCACGTTCATATGTTGGTTGAAATAGCGAAAGTAATTATCGCATAAGATTACGATTTGTTACAGTAGATTTCACTAAAGCATAATAAGCGATTACAATAAAATTTTAATATCATCGCCGGAAAACAAGTACTGACAGGGAGGAAATTCTAGTAAAATTATTAATAATAAATATAATTACAAAATTTTCTAACTGAGCAAAATTCTCTAATTAAGCAATTCATTTGTTTACAAGAATTTCGAAATTCAGAATACGAATTGCAGATGAATGTTGCCGTTGGCCTGGAGGGAGTCAGAAACTTATTTTGAAGTACCCTGGAATGTCCCCCTCTGTCTTCTTTTCGTGTTATTTTTTTATGGATTAAATTGGCAAAATACAAAAAATTATCATTTAAATCAATTAACTAAATAAAAAATTTTAATACACAGATTTTATAGAACCATATTATTAAATGTTATGCACGTGAACTTGAATTCGTTTTAATTAAATTAATTTTTTTATGTGGAATTCGAGCTTTTGCTAGGGATACATCAACTTTTAAATTTGATTGTTCAGATATGAATATGCTAAATAATCCATAGCAGTTTAGTAGTTTATTTCTGAAATATTAAACTACCATATTGTCCCGCATATAAGATGAATGTCTTTCCTTTAAGATGCTTTCTCAAACACTGCGCTTCTCACAACAACGCGCAAACTAATAATCAAAATTGTATTAAAAGTAATTTATCATTTATCTATTAAATTTTAATGAGTATTTAGAACATTTAATTATTTTTTATGAAGTGCAGTTTCAATATATAGGGTGACATGAAATAATTGTTCATATATATGAACATAGCCACCATATCGTTCAATGAATCGGAATGAAACTTGAGATTTAAATTTTCCAGTTATGCATTCAAAAATAATACTAATAAAGACAACTGAATTGTCATGGCTACGATTGCAACGAAATTATTTTAAGAAAATTCAATATTAAGACGCACGTTTTCGCATTGCAATGCAATCGGCATAGTAAAAAACGATAAACTGCCATCACCACGGCATCATGGCCGTAAGACTGCATGTATGCTGTGAAATATCGCACGCATTAATCACTCTTAAGTGGTTACTATGATTCGCGATTGTGCATTTTCACTGCCGCAATGAAAATTACGCACATTCATAAAGTTTATGTAATCTTTCTTTCCTGGTTTGTCATTTCCTGGCGTGCCATTTGTTTTTCTTTCCTGATTTTCCTGATTTTGGTGCATTGTCATTTGTCTTCCTTGTAAATGATCTTGCGGCAGCGCTTTTGGAGCTATAGATAAATTTCCTAGGGTCATTTATGTTTTTTGTCTGTGCCGATTAAATTGCTATGGAAAACAGTGATGTTCCTATTGCAAATGCTTAATATTCGTTTGCCGTAAACATTGAGATTTCGATTAACGTTAACATCATTCTTGGGTATATACACTGGTGTGCAAAAATTAAGGACGAAGTCGAAAAATTAGCATATCAGCTGAACGAAGAGGCAGAGCGGACAGAAAGACCAATCAGGAGATTAAGTAAGGTGATGTACGGTAGCATATGCGCAGATATGCAGGTAGACGTAATGGGGGAGTGTCTGAGTAGTATAAAGCATGTTGTCGGTGTAAGATCAGTATTTCTGGCAAAGAGATTGCACGCCGTATAGCAGTTAAAATCACACCGAGTTGCTGCCTCAGCGAGAAATGGCCAATAATCAATCTGCTAGACGACATCTGGATGCTTTTACCAGAGGTCGAATCATTGGGAAGTTGGAGGAAGGCCGCAGTGTGACAAGTGTGGTTGCAGAGTTCGGAATTGCTCACAGCATCGTTCGACTTTGGAGACAATTTCAAACTACAGGAACAGCTATCCGGGGGTTTAGTAGTGGTCGTCCACGAGGAACCACACCCTCAGATGACCGGTATATTGCCTTACAGGCCAGAAGAAACAGGCGGCAGACAGCGGGAGAAATCGCTAGACACACGACACAGGCGACCGGACGACCGATATCGCGTTTTACCGTGGCCAGAAGACTGCACGGTGGTGGTCTGTTTGCACGACGCCCTGTACGGTCTGTACCTCTAACGCCTGCCCATCGGAGAAGGCGTTCTCTGTGGTGCCGGGAACACCGGAATTGGAGAGACAATGAATGCGGACGAGTACTCTTTACAGATGAGAGCAGATTCTCATCGCATACTCATTTGGAGAGAGCGGGGAAGCCGCAATCATCCCTCGAACATCATTGAAAGGGATAGGTACGGAGGTGGCGGTGTTCTCGTTTGGGGAGGCATCATGCTTGGTAGTCGACATCTTCGACGCAGGTTCAGTCAACGGGACCCGTTATTGTAACGAGATTCTTCTTCCATATGTGCGTCTTTTTAGAGGCGCTATGCGTCGCAGTTTCTTTTCATGGACGACAATGCACCATGTCGTCGCACAGTAGCTGCCGAACAGCTCTTAGCGAGTTTGGATATTGAACGTATGGATTAGCCGGCACGATCTCCGGATCTCAATCCCATCGAACAAGGATGGGATTTTCTAGGCAGACGCTTGGCAGCTCGCATCTTAGCACCAGTAACGATTCCGGAGCTTCGATTGGGGCTGCAAGACGAATGGGCAGCAATGCCTCAACAACTCATTGACACCCTCATTCTCAGCATGGGCAGACGCTGTGAAACCTGCTTAGCAGTCAGGGGAGATCATATCCCCTCTTAAAGACCGGATGTTTCTTGCTGGACACCCATCACAGGGATGTTTCGGCCTTCAGTCGCATTGCGCTCCGTGCTACTTTTTCAATAAAGCTTCTTTTTATTCCTCTGATTTCTCTTTTAGTAATTGTTGCTTACATTACTCATGTCCTTACGTATTGGGGATCTTACGATATTAAATGTGTTGATTTGGAAAGCTTTTGTACAAAGTTATATTGAAAAAACCGTCTCGTCTTTAATTTTTGCACACTAGTGTACTTTGCAATCATTGCGTCTTGAGTTTCATTCCAATTCATTGAATCATTAGGTTACTATGAATTCGAATAAGGTAGAGTTATTGTATGACAGCTGGTATGAAGCGCATACGTGCGAGACCAACGAATATGAACACCATTTTTCTCGCAAAATGCCTTCGGAAACGCGGTGTCTTTTATGTGGCCATCTTATATTCGGGTTAATGCAGTATTATAGTTAGTGGTTCAGAAGGATACCTTATAAGAACCTAGGAAATAATTTACTACAACATTTACTCAGTTAACGATTACCTAAAACCAGTTGCTGTAATACGAATCAAAACAAAATGTCTTTATTAATTTAGAGAATTAAATTAAAAGAAACGTTATGACAAATGTTAGTAATTAGAATGACACACACACACACACACACATATATATATGCGATATACCAGCTTTTGTCCGGAATAAATAGATTAGTAAAGAATCATAGCTGTAGTCGTAGCTTAAATTATCAGACGATAATTTAAAAAAAAACAGGATCCATTTATTATATTTCAGGGGAAATAGCAATTACAAAATCATATTTCCGGAGTAAATAAAAAAGAATTACTAATAACTTTTTGTGTGAAGTTTACTGCATCGTGACATTTAAGAAAAAGTCGCCGATATTCCTTTGCGAGTCCTTTTATAGCCTCTAGAAAGGCGGAGCTTCCAAGAAATGACGTCAGCCAATCCAGTTCGCTTTAAATATTTCCAGAACATTCTATAACTGTACGTGTAGAAAAGGCGGGAAAAACAACTTGACTACGGGGCTGTGGATTTAATTCCACGTACTTTCAAATAAAAGAACGTCGCCATTAAAAATGAAAAAGAACATACAGTTAGAATTTTAAATGTATTCTTGACTATGGAATTTTATTATTACATATATATATAGATACTGTGATTTTGAGCTAAATTAGAAGAAATAGTACTTATTAAACAAGAGACTAAAAATTTGTATTCTCACATACTTCGAAAAACGTTGAACGGTATAAGCTAAGGAGATTAGAAATGTAACGATTTCTTTTCAGCGAAAGGTGAGACCCATACTGGGTCTACCGTTCGGCATTTCGACGGTCAGCCTGATCCTCTCGTCTTCGCAAACAAGGCTGAGAACAAGAAGAGTTTGGAAGAGAAATCGGCCCTCATCGACTCCGGACCTCGGAATACGGCCATCTTTACCGTAGAGGAAGGAAGACAGAGATATGGTAATCACACCTCTCACTCCAGAAGCCATGAGGACAACGATAAATGCAATTGTTTCTCGCCCACGTGTTACTGTTCCGTGGGGGATGGAAGGAAGACAGAGACCAGCTTCCACCAAAGTGGTCAGATATTTGTTTTTTGAAAACATTGCTTTGCGTCTATGTGAAATTTCCCCAGTGTGGCTTCTGTGTCTCTGCCATCTGTCCTCCTCTGTTCTTTCTTTCTAGGAGAGAGTCACATGGAGAATATGGTATCTTTGTTTTATTTCAAACGAAAAGCCTGATATTGCAAATGGCATATCAGCAACTGTTATTCAGTGTCATATGCACGCATCATTTTCTAAGAAGTTTGCTACTAACCATGACAGTAAAGTTAATGAGGGAGGAATTTTCTATTTTTTTTTGACAACAGCATTTGAAATACCAGTCTTTTCGTTTGACGTGAATTGTTGGTTTTGCTTTAGTGGCTGTGGCAGATTTTTCTGCTTTATTCTGTGCTCAGTTTTTTTCACTCACAACGCGTTTTTCAAATATGCATTTTTAAAAACACAATTGAATATTTGCATGGATGTTAAATTTACTGAAAATATTTATCAGCTAGTTAAAGCTTTCAAAGTTCCTGCTCTTCTTCATACAATGTAACACAGTATTCCAGACATTTAACATTATTTTGTATATAAAAAATACCTTTTAGTTTACAGCGAATAGGTGGTAACTGCATAGTATTTTAAACAAGTTTTTATAATTAAATTCGGAATAATAATTTTAGATATATTTTACAAAGTATTAAATATGTAGATATAGATACATAATATAAGCAAATGATGTTCACAAATATTTAGCCAAAGTGAAATCTACATTTTGAAATGTTAAACGCTGCCAAAATTTTCAAATCCGTTAAAAAATATAAATCTTTAAGGGAAACGAAACGTATTTATCACTTTGGACACGCAAATGAAGCTTACCTGTGGATAAAATGCTTTCCGTATATTTGATGTACTAGGTTTATATGATTTAATATTGTGTTTAGCTGTGAATTGTCTGAAAACAAGGTAATCAAATCCTTAAGTACTTAATTGTTTAACTTCCAGTGCTTTCATTGTTATTGATTTGTAATTTAATGATATTGATGATGACTATTCATTCTTACAAATACTGATACAAAGACTTTTGCAAGTTTATCCACTGAATGAATAATGTCTTTCTCTCAGACAGAGCTATGGTAATAATACCAATAACAACCGCAGGTGGCTACAAAGCTGTATGTAGCATCCAAACTCTCGTCAGAAATTAGTGGAAACGGTTTCAAGATACTAGATTCATATCTAAAATACCTGAAGAGTTCCACAAAGATCCACAATGACGAATGAGGATTGTTATTTGACACTTTCAGCGCGGGACACAGGATTGCTAGAGTTTCGCAGCTCTCACGTGTATGCTGACATTAGAACCCGAATTTCGCGGTCTATAGTTGCTGAAGGCCTCATGAGATAGGGCTGTATGCCAAAACACTCGCTGTTTGCGTCTCGCTCATTACAATAAACAGGAGAGCGAGTTTAGCATAGTGCACACAATATGCGCTTTGGTTATACTTCGGTGGAGCACCGCGCTTTTTACAGATGAGTCGAGATTCAGCCTGGACACTGATTCTACGCTTATCTACACCGTTTTTCAAAAAGAATATACGTATTACAAAGTGTTATTTTGTCCAATCTATCGATCACTGCGCCTCGGATCGGCTTTTGGCGAAACGAATGCATAGTCTAGTTTATATTATTAGCCGCTAGATGTCAGTGGTCTTCTGTTTTCCGTAGTAACCGTCACATGTTTAAAATGGCTACTCCGTGGCAGAAATCATTTTGTGTTCTCGAGATTGACACCCTGAGACTTCTTCCTGTGGGGCTTCATTAAAGATAACGTTTATGTACCACCACTCCCACAGAACCTGGAATGAGGTGAAGAACCGGATTCGTACTATCATAACATCAGTGACGACGGACATGCTTACCCGAGTATGAGAGGAATTTGAGTATGATGTGATATTCGTGTCGCTGATGGAGGACATAGTGAGCATCTGTAACATCTGTAATCTGAACTTGAGAGGTTCGTACATATGTCTGTAAAGTTTCATATTCGTATGTCATACAGTTTATGCATTCGAAATACGTATATTCTTTTTGAAACACGCTGTATATCTGTAGAGAGGCTGAAACACGACACCATTCTCTCCCTTATGAAGTAAAAGGATCATTACGATGGTGGAGGGATAATGGTTTGGGCAGGCATTATGTTAGATGGCTGCACATCCCTGCATATGTTTGACAAAGGCTCCCTGATTGTTGTGAGGTATAGAGAAGAGATCTTAGAGCCCTATGTTTGATATTTCAGAGGCGCAGTTTGTCCTGAGTTCCTGTTAATGGAAACAACTCTCATTCACATAGGGCTCAACTGATCGACTGTTGTCTGAAAAGCGCCGATATTCGACTCACAGATTGGCCAGCCAAATTTCCTGAACTTAACTCTATTCAGCCCGATATCACAAGTGGATTTTAGAGATTTCTGTACTAAAACGTTTACTAATAATCATGCATATATAAAATGACTTTTGAATGGTACACATCTTTCTCTGTTGTAAATATGTATTCGTACCAAACTTCTTTAAAATCTGACCATCAGTTTTGAAAAATTAGACATAATGTGCAAATTATCTTAATTTTGCACACAAGAGGTATATCTTTTATGACAGTTATTTTTATACCCCTTTTCGAAAGAAATTATTCATATCTCAGACATTTATATTGGATCATGCCTCTTTTATGCTCCAGTAATTACTGTATTAAACAAGGCTGTCCAAAAGTTGGCTCGTGAGCCAGATGTGCCATCCAAGAACATCAAGAAGTTATCCCAGTATGACTCGATCGTATCTTAGTTTTAAATGTTTGATGCAAACAAATTTAGCAGAAATCATGAAAGCTTTTGGTGATTTTACAGTGGTAAACTATGTCGACTTAGACTTGCCTTCCATTCAGAATGACCGAGAAGAATATGAATAAGAAATGTGCAAAAATTTACCAAATTAGATCTGGAAAAGACTGTTACATTTTATTATGCTTTGCCAAAAGAACAGATCAATTAAACGTAAGTTAGGTTTAATATTTTAAACGTGCAAACGAGAAATATTTTTCCTAAGCAAGAGTTGATCAATATATATTCTCTTCAAGGATTTACGAAATGAAGGGATATTTGGAATTCAACTAAAAGGCCCATTGGTAAGGAATATTCAGTTATCGCTTCTACGGTGGTTGGCACAATGTCTAGACCAACAATGTATTAAACAATGTGTAGTATGGTGTGGCCCCAACTTGTCAGCAACTGTGGTAGTGACTGCTATGAACTGTAAATTTATACAAACACGTAAGAAGAGTTTAAAGCCCTTTTTATTCCACTTTAGAAATAACAGCTGCGTTCACTTGTCGCTCACAAACTACGCCGACCCGGCGGTTTTACCAAAACAGAAATGTGAAACTAAAAATAATGACTAGATGACTAAATAACTAGATCATTACCTACGAGGCTCTGAAATCTTAACTAACCTAACCGCGTAATTCAGAAGTCAAACAACAAAAATCAGCGTTATATTCACAAAATTTTCACAGGACTAGTTTCGATGGTTTTACCGAACCATCATCTTCAGCTGCATTTGGGTAAAACCATCGAAACTAGTCCTGTGAAAATTTTGTGAATATAACGCTTATTTTTGTTGTTTGACTTCTGAATTAGTATTTATTCGGCGTGTTATTGTGTCTTAATTAACCTAACCGCGTTCTAAAATACAGCTGAGATTCAGCGAGCTTACTGATTAAGCAGTTGAAGGATTCAACGAACTGCCGAGATAGGCACACAGGCTGAAACGCGCGGTTCTTAAATTTCTACCTAGCAACCTTCACGCTCGCGATTCAAGAAGCACACTTACAAACTCGTTTCTCTTCTATTTAAACTCAACTTACTTCTGCTAAATTTGAATATACTGCGCGCTCTACTACACTTTACATACTCTAGCATTGGCAATTCTAAGGGAAAGTAAAGGCTTGACAGGAAAGATAGCTTAAAATAAATGTTAGTTAAAATAAATATAAACCCTACAAATGTATTGACAGAAAATGATAATGAATTGTGTGTAATTCTATTAATTACTTATCTCTATGCCAAAACGCTTAAGACGCTAGTCAAAGTTATTAACATGGTATTGGATAGTAAACAAGCTCACACCTCTAGATTTTAGGGGGTGTGGGATCAGAACACCGATACATCTTTACAATCACGCGAAGAGGCGCAGGAAATTCAGGTGGTCTTAAGTGCAGGATAGTTTTAGAACTGAGAAAAGAAATTATTAATTTCCTTCATCAGTGTATTCCTTCAGACTCAACGCTCCCAGGAGATACCTCTTGAAGTGCTACCTTTTCTTCAAGAGACGGCACTTAACAGATATTTCTAGCCACTTAAATAATATTTCTAAGATTATAGATGTGAGACCGGATTGTGTCTCATCCTATGGATTTCGTAAAAAGCTGAGAGTTTTCATGACGGTGCTGTAGGAAAAAATGTTTGGACTCACAGCTGATTGTTAAGTCATTTCCATCCCAATCGGACTACTCGTCGCGAATTCGGATTCTAACAGGTAAAGAATCTAATATGCTACTTATTCAATAAATACAAGTTTTCATTAGCTAATATAATTATTGTTTCTTATTACATGTAGTTGAAAATTAGCGTTTAGAACGTTCTGTTTTTATGTAAACGTTTGATTAGCATATCTTTCGTATTTCTTTCAGACTTAGAAAAACTGTTGTAACTTAGCAAATTAAATAAACTCTCTTCCTTTAATATAACTTATTTTGTTTTTGAAAATAATTCTTAATTTTAGGATGAAATATAGAAATATTCTTAATTTAACATAGGTATCAGAAAAAACTGAAACAGCTGAGTGAATAATAAAAGAAAAA